ACAGTTCCGTGGCCAGAATTGGACAGGAGGAGAGGGAAACAGAGACAGAGACAGACAGACAGACAGACAGACTGACAGGTAGACAGACAGACATAGAGAGACAAACAGAATGAAAGAGAGAGAGAGTTACATAGTTAGAGAGACTTACGGAAAGTTAGAAGGAGTTAGAAGGTACAGATAGACAGATAAAGAGAGAGTAACGAGTTCCAAACAAAAGGTGGGAGACCAAACTAAAGGTGGGAGACCAAACAAAAGGAGGGAGACAAACAAAAGGTGGGAGACAAACAAAAGGTGGGAGACCAAACAAAAGGAGGGAGACAAACAACAGGTGGGAGACCAAACAAAAGGTGGGAGACAAACAAAAGGAGGGAGACAAACAAAAGGTGGGAGACAAACAAAAGGTGGGAGACAAACAAAAGGTGGGAGACCAGACAAAAGGTGGGAGACCAAACAAAAGGTGGGAGACCAAACAAAAGGTGGGAGACAAACAAAAGGTGGGAGACAAACAAAAGGTGGGAGACAAACAAAAGGTGGGAGACCAAACAAAAGGAGGGAGTCAAACAAAAGGTGGGAGACCAAACAAAAGGAGGGAGACAAACAAAAGGTGGGAGACCAAACTAAAGGAGGGAGTCAAACAAAAGGTGGGAGACCAAACAAAAGGTGGGAGACCAAACAAAAGGTGGGAGTCAAACAAAAGGTGGGAGACCAAACAAAAGGTGGGAGACCAAACAAAAGGTGGGAGACCAAACAAAAGGTGGGAGACCAAACAAAAGGTGGGAGACCAAACAAAAGGTGGGAGACCAAACAAAAGGTGGGAGACCAAACAAAAGGTGGGAGACCAAACAAAAGGTGGGAGACCAAACAAAAGGTGGGAGACCAAACAAAAGGTGGGAGACCAAACAAAAGGTGGGAGACCAAACAAAAGGTGGGAGACAAACAAAAGGTGGGAGACCAAACAAAAGGTGGGAGACCAAACAAAAGGTGGGAGACCAAACAAAAGGTGGGAGACAAACAAAAGGTGGGAGACCAAACAAAAGGTGGGAGACCAAACTAAAGGTGAGAGACCAAACAAAAGGTGGGAGACAAACAAAAGGTGGGAGACCAAACAAAAGGTGGGAGACCAAACTAAAGGTGGGAGACCAAACAAAAGGTGGGAGACCAAACAAAAGGTGGGAGACCAAACTAAAGGTGGGAGACCAAACAAAAGGTAGGAGACCAAACTAAAGGTGGGAGACCAAACAAAAGGTGGGAGACCAAACTAAAGGTGGGAGACCAAACAAAAGGTAGGAGACCAAACTAAAGGTGGGAGACCAAACAAAAGGTGGGAGACCAAATTAAAGGTGGGAGACCAAACAAAAGGTGGGAGACCAAACAAAAGGTGGGAGACCAAACAAAAGGTAGGAGACCAAACTAAAGGTGGGAGACCAAACAAAAGGTGGGAGACCAAATTAAAGGTGGGAGACCAAACTAAAGGTGGGAGACCAAACAAAAGGTGGGAGACCAAATTAAAGGAGGGAGACAAACTAAAGGTTTAAGATGAGACAAAAGGTGGGAGACAAAAGGTCATGTAAGGTGAAAATTATTTAATTTAGTGAGTAACTAGGAGAGTGTGAGTAAGAGTGAGGACGTCAAGACGAGAGTGTGAGTGAGAGTGAGGACGTCAAGACGAGAGTGTGAGTGAGAGTCAGGACGTCAGGACGAGAGTGTGAGTGAGAGTGAAATCGTCAGGACGAGAGCATGAGTGCAAGTGAGGAAGAGAGTAAAAAGAGTTTTGGGTGGAAAGTGAGAGTGTGAGGGAGCGGGCTGAGATGCCTCTCACCACCCAGGCTGACCCTGCGTCTTTGTACTCACATGGTGACTGGCTCAGTGTGGCTAGGCCAGACGGTGACTGTCTCAGTGTGGCTAGGCCAGACAGTGACTGTCTCAGTGAGACTAGGCCAGACGGTGACTGTCTCAGTGTGGCTAGGCCAGAGAGTGACTGTCTCAGTGAGACTAGACCAGACGGTGACTGTCTCAGTGTGGCTAGGCCAGACAGTGACTGTCTCAGTGAGACTAGGCCAGACGGTGACTGTCTCAGTGTGGCTAGGCCAGACAGTGACTGTCTCAGTGAGACTAGGCCAGACGGTGACTGTCTCAGTGTGGCTAGGCCAGACAGTGACTGTCTCAGTGAGACTAGGCCAGAGGGTGACTGTCTCAGTGAGACTAGGCCAGACGGTGACTGTCTCAGTGTGGCTAGGCCAGACAGTGACTGTCTCAGTGAGACTAGGCCAGACGGTGACTGTCTCAGTGAGACTAGGCCAGACGGTGACTGTCTCAGTGAGACTAGGCCAGACAGTGACTGTCTCAGTGTGGCTAGGCCAGACGGTGACTGTCTCAGTGAGACTAGGCCAGACGGTGACTGTCTCAGTGTGGCTAGGCCAGACAGTGACTGTCTCAGTGAGACTAGGCCAGACGGTGACTGTCTCAGTGTGGCTAGGCCAGACAGTGACTGTCTCAGTGAGACTAGGCCAGAGGGTGACTGTCTCAGTGAGACTAGGCCAGACGGTGACTGTCTCAGTGTGGCTAGGCCAGACAGTGACTGTCTCAGTGAGACTAGGCCAGACGGTGACTGTCTCAGTGAGACTAGGCCAGACGGTGACTGTCTCAGTGAGACTAGGCCAGACAGTGACTGTCTCAGTGTGGCTAGGCCAGACGGTGACTGTCTCAGTGAGACTAGGCCAGACGGTAACTGTCTCAGTAAGGCTAGGCCAGACGGTGACTGTCTCAGTGAGACTAGGCCAGACGGTGACTGTCTCAGTGAGACTAGGCCAGACGGTGACTGTCTCAGTGAGACTAGGCCAGACGGTAACTGTCTCAGTGAGGCTAGGCCAGACGGTGACTGTCTCAGTAATGGCTAGGCCAGACGGTGACTGTCTCAGTGAGACTAGGCCAGACAGTGACTGTCTCAGTGAGACTAGGCCAGACGGTGACTGTCAGAAAATCCGACACCATTTAATAATATTACATGCAATTGCAGATAATACTGCTGCGTTGTATACACAAGTTAACCCATAGAAAATGTAGCTTGTAGTGGAATTTTCCGTCAATAGAAAACGGGATATCATTGCCACATACTATTATAAATTTACCAGCTATTCTGCTGGGAATTATTCTTAAATACATTAGTCTTTGGACTATACCATCATAAAAACATCTCATATAAATTAACTTAATTATCAGAATCAAAATAAAGTAAATGTGACCCTTCTATCAGTTACTGATATCTGGACAATGTAGTCCAGTAACGTCAGTGAGGAAGGAGTGGTCAGCCATTGTTGTTAAGACCAGAGGCGCACGGGAGTAAACAGCTCCTATCATTTCTCTTGGACGAAGTGTAATGGAGATCATATTAGTGGTCTACCATCATCAACATGCTGTCAACAATAATCAAGGGAAGTGTTCTGCCGGAACTCGTTTATCTAATCATTTTTGGCCATTAATGCTAGGTAGATAAGGGCAAACCGGTTAGATTGCGAACAGCCTCCTAATAAAAGGTAATTAAGCCTTGGTCTTTGTTTTATCAATTATAGTGTTTTCTCTGATATAGCTGTCATATATTAGGATTCTGGCTTTACAGCTAGCGCCATTTGACAGGTGAAGAAGAGGAAGCAAGCTTTGTGTATCAGTTACTGGGTGATGGAAGCTGCCTCACACGAGGAAATTTGGTGTCTACATCCTAATTATATCTGGTGGACTAAGCCTGTTGTATAATAAGATAAGGAACCTCTTCAATGTATACTAATATGTGTAGTTTAATACTGAAGTTTGATTGGCTGCATATATATAAATTCAATATAAACCCTCCCCCCCTAATGTGTAAGGATCGATTTGTGAGATTATTGCAGAAATACAGTCCACTTATCATTATACAAATTGATGGCTAGACCAGACTGTGACTGTCTCATTGATGGCTTGGCCAGATGGTGACTGCCTCAGTGAGGTTAAGTCAAACGGTGACTGGCTCAGTGAAGTTAAGTCAGTCGGTGACTGGCTCAGTGAAGTTAAGTCAGTCGGTGACTGGCTCAGTGAGGTTAAGTCAGGCGGTGACTGGCTCAATGAGGTTAAGTCAGGCGGTGACTGGCTCAGTGAAGTTAAGTCAGGCGGTGACTGGCTCAATGAAGTTAAGTCAGGCGGTGACTGGCTCAGTGAAGTTAAGTCAGGCGGTGACTGGCTCAATGAGGTTAAGTCAGGCGGTGACTGGCTCAGTGAGGTTAAGTCAGGCGGTGACTGGCTCAGTGAGGTTAAGTCAGTCGGTGACTGGCTCAGTGAAGTTAAGTCAGGTGGTGACTGGCTCAATGAAGTTAAGTCAGGTGGTGACTGGCTCAATGAAGTTAAGTCAGGTGGTGACTGGCTCAGTGAAGTTAAGTCAGGCGGTGACTGGCTCAGTGAGGTTAAGTCAGGCGGTGACTGGCTCAGTGAAGTTAAGTCAGGTGGTGACTGGCTCAATGAAGTTAAGTCAGGTGGTGACTGGCTCAGTGAAGTTAAGTCAGGCGGTGACTGGCTCAGTGAGGTTAAGTCAGGCGGTGACTGGCTCAGTGAAGTTAAGTCAGGCGGTGACTGGCTCAGTGAGGTTAAGTCAGGCGGTGACTGGCTCAGTGAAGTTAAGTCAGGCGGTGACTGGCTCAGTGAAGTTAAGTCAGGCGGTGACTGGCTCAGTGAGGTTAAGTCAGGCGGTGACTGGCTCAGTGAGGTTAAGTCAGGCGGTGACTGGCTCAATGAAGTTAAGTCAGGCGGTGACTGGCTCAGTGAAGTTAAGTCAGGCGGTGACTGGCTCAGTGAGGTTAAGTCAGGCGGTGACTGGCTCAGTGAAGTTAAGTCAGGCGGTGACTGGCTCAGTGAGGTTAAGTCAGGCGGTGACTGGCTCAGTGAGGGTAAGTCAGGCGGTGAAATGCTCAGTTAGATTAAGTCACACAGTGACTGGCTCAGTGACGCTAGGCCAGACAGAGACTGGCTAAGTGAGGTTAGGCCCGATAGTGACTGGATGTTATGGTATCAACATCGTTGCTGGAGTGCTGAGGGGCAATTTCGGTGTCATCTATAGACCTGCACTCCAACTCCAAGGCATTTGGTGAAACGCAGACAACGCAATCTGTTGGCGATGGTTTGGGGTCCATGAAAGGCTCCTGTTTCATACCTCTGTTAGGCGGTGAGGTCGATGATGATGACCTCTGATGGGAGTAGTAACGATATCAATGCCATTTAGAGTACGCATCTGACCACATTTCACAGTTCCCTAGTGAAGGGTGCTATCATAAGTTCACCCAGTGTACTGTCTGTCTGGCTAATGACTTTTATGTTCACAGAGGTGACGTGATGAGGCGACTGCGTTGTGGAAATCAGTTTATCTTGGACATTCCAGTACTCCTAACTTGGTCCTGTGAGAGGACATCTGGCCGCCGTCGGTAGTAAGCAGTGTTTTAGCTGCTTATTGCTTTAGATGTATGTAGTGTTGTATGGACCAACGTACCCAGGATTTGGCCACGAGGAGTTACGAGACGACAGTAGTGTCCGTCTGCTGAGAAGTGCTGCTAGTGTGTAGCCAGAGACTCTTGTCAGGGTGTTAACCACCCATGTACATGATAATTTGTGACCCCTGTCAGCGTGTTGCTGAAGCTTTCTGCCAGTATGTTTCTGGAGAGCGGATGTGAGGTATTGGAACATCGTGACGATACGGTATATAGACTTGCCCATGTTCAAGAAGGTGAACTCGCCGGTGATTATCATTGAGTGTGGTCGACGTGTACTTGAAGATAGTGGACTCACCGGAATTAGAAGAATACTGCAGATCTATTGAATGTCCTGGGTGAAAGCGACAATGTGTACATATGTGTATTTATACTTCTATTGATAATATATTGGTGAAGGTGTAAATGCATCTTGTTTTCCACCTTTATTCCTTGCACGGTTACTTGCTACTGCCAATTCTTGAGAACTTACCATTGACTTGAGGTAGGATCAAAGAAGAGGAGGCTATAAGGCACATTATACAGAGACAACTCGGTTACTGACTCGAGCAGGCCATAACACCGGCTCAGTGAGGTTAGGCCAGACAGTGACTGGCTCAGTGAAGTTAGGCCAGACAGTGACTGGCTCAGTGATGTTAGGCCAGACAGTGACTGGCTCAGTGATGTTAGGCTAGACTGTGACTGGCTCAGTGGTTAGACCAGACTGTGGCTGGCTCAGTCATTGGCTATATGAATGTTCGGAAATAGCAATGTATACATATATGGCTAAAATTACCGCACATTAAAATGGACTTGTGATCCCTGAATTGTTTCAAGCGTTGGTGAGACATATATATTAATGATTTCTGGTGACTAGAAATGGGAGTTGTATTATCTTGGTCATAAGGCCTACTCCAGTTTTATCATTCATTAAAACCTATTATTTCAACTAGCACAATACTGATTGAACAAAATTATACCCTAATGGAAAGGAAACGAAATAATATAAAGAAAGTTTATGTTATAGTTTCTACAAGATTTCTGTGAGAAGATAAATGTTCATGATGTAAGAGTTGGTGCGCCTCAGATCGTCTTGGGTCTGGTACATACAGAGACTGAGAGTATATATGTGATGTATCGGTAGTGTTGGCGTGAGAGGTTCAACCATGCAGGTTGCAGAGCATCTTATCCGTTGCTTGTAACTGGCGAGTATGTAATGTTATGAAGACTCTTGTTCACAAAGAGTGAATTTGAAACTTTAATGTTATCAGGAAATTAAAGCAATTGCGTTTGAAAATTATTATTATTATTTTCTATTATGTTCTTGAAGGCTATGGAAAAAAACTCTCACATCATCCATAAATTGTCAACGCCACACGCAGAAATAAAATGTCGTTGGTTGTGTTAACGTAATTCTAAATAAATACATTAGTTAGTCATAACAGATATGCTTCATGGCAAATTCTGCTCCAGAAAACCAGAATATATTTGCCGAGTCGTTTGCATTTCGTCACAAAATCTTTTTAAGCAATGTCACATTAAACTCATCAGTCTCAGGACTGAAAACAAAATTAAACAAATCTCCTAAAGTAAATATATAGTCAATAAAAGTATTGACATCAACCCAAATCCTCATTCCGAATCTCAATGAAACGCTGTTGGGTATGACACCCGGGGCGAGTGAAGGGGAGTCAGCCAGTATTATTGTTGCTGGAACTTGAGCCGCGACAGAGCGGGCTTCCCACAACGCAGAAAATTACTTCCCGCGAGTCCAGGAATGCTGCTGTGTGACTCTTAATATTTGCCATTTGGGTGCTGAGACTTATAGGAAAGTGCTAAATTTCAGACTATCCCCATTTATTTTTTAGTTATGGTCATAGGACTTACAAATAGAATAGTTAAGCAGCAGGAAAACATCACCCGAAAGGGTCAGGTTTATTCATTATTAATTAACCAAATTTCATGTGTAACAGCTGTGCTTTACATGTTTTCGTCAGTTTTTACGGTGTAACTTGTTGACAGGTAAACAGTAGCCGCAGGGAACAACAATTGAGCTGTACACCCTGGGGCCACGCGGACGCTATTAACACCTGTCTAGTCCGGAGTACACGTGCCCGGGACATTAACACCTGTCCAGTATAGAGTACACGTGCCCGGGACATTAACACCTGTCCAGTATGGAGTACACGTGTCCGGGACATTAACACCTGTCCAGTACAGAGTACACGTGTCCGGGACATTAACACCTGTCCAGTACGGAGTACACGTGTCTGAGAAATCTGATGCTGGATGACTAGCCAACACCACCCAAACAGCTGAGATTGTTTTAAATTATAACTAACACATTTGAAGCAGTACTACTATTTAATTACATTTTAGTAGATAAAATTATATCAACCGTGTCATTACAGTGTGATAAACTGTATTATGAACCCTCTAAATTGTGTGATGGGAAGTTTACTGGTGAATAGTCCACTCATAAGTAATAAATACAATTTAATGTTCCATTGAATTAATAAACAAATAAATCACCGGTAGATTTCCCCACAAAGGCTATCTAGATAGTTTACCGTTAGAGAGATAGACTCATTGGTAATTTTAGTGTGGAAAGTGAAGTTAGATAAAATTGCAAATGTACTTACTTCACTGCGGAATATACAAATTTTTTATCTTGTTGTGTAAAGTACCGTTTCCAGCTTGTAAGTTGGTTAAGTAAGGCATCCAGCCTATTTGCTTACCCATTGCCCACATGGGAAAAGAGCTACTATGCCACACTAATTGTTTAGTTTCCCCCAGGAATTGGTTTCAAAGTTTGAGGCCTGTCTTCGGCTGGATAATTAGGCCAGTGAGATTCCCCGAAAGGTGTATTAAGCTGCGGAATATGCTGAGAAGTGTATTAAGCCAGGGTATACATTGGGAGGTGTATTAAACTAGGGAATACAATGAGAGGTATATTAAGCCAGGGAATACATTGGGAGTTGTATTAAACTAGAGTATACAATGAGAGGTATATTAAGCCAGGGGTATGCATTGAGAGGTGTATTTAACCAGGTGTATACAGGGAGAGGAAAATAAAGGCAGGATATTCATTGGTATGTGTATTAAACTAGTATACACACTGGGAGATGTGATAAACCAGGGTATACACTGAGAGGTATTAAGCTACTGTATACGCTTAGAGATGTATTAAGTAGTGTATTCTCAGAGATGTATACCTGTCAGTGTATACCCTGGCTTAGCACACCTCTCAGTATATAGCAGTGGTGTATATCTATACTTTAAGAGAGAATGTATGTCTCTCTATCTGTTTACTCAAAGTTAAAGACCATGCGCTTGGAGCTAGCCTCACCCACATTGGCAGAGGGAATGGTCTGGTACAGGATGAACCAGACACACACGACTAATTCTGGCACTGTCCGCCAGCTACATGGCTCAATAATATCAAAACAAACTTTTTAAAACTATTGTGTTTTTTTTATAGTAACATGCACCATTATTCGCTGATCTCGGGAAATTAAGAGAAACTTCATGCTGTCAATAATTTGCCCGTACTCCCATAAAACAGACAATTCATTCTCTTCATGCCATAGGTGTTTATAACGGGTAACATGTAACGGGTGTTTATATGGGTGAATATTCTTCTTTTAGTATTTCACACCATTAAGCTCCTCTCACTGGCAATCACCCATACTTGATCACGGCTTTGACACAGTACCCCACAAGAGGCTGATGCATAAGCTGGAGAAACAGGCAGGAGTAACTGGTAGTGCGCTCCAGTGGATAAGGGGTATAGGAAGCAGAGAGTTACAGTGAAGGTTGAGCCCTCAGATTGGCGTGAAGTCACCAGTGGAGTCCCACAGAGCTCTGTACTCGGACCTATCCTGTTTCTGATATACGTAAATGATATACCCAGAGGGTATAGACTCATTCCTCTCAATGTTTGCTGATGACGCCAAAAATTATGAGAAGGGGGAGAGAGAGAAAAAGACCTGGGGGTTGATATCACTCCAGAGCTGTCCCCTGAAGCTCATATCAAGAGGATAACATCAGCGGCATATGCCATATGTTAGGTTGGCTAACATAAGAACGCCCTTCAGAAACTTGTGTAAGGAATCTTTCAGAACTTTGTATACCACATATGTCAGACCAATCCTGGAGTATGCGGCTTCAGCATGGAGCCTATATCTAGGCAAGCATAAAACTAAACTGGAAAAGGTTCAAAGGTTTGCCACCAGACTAGTACCCGAACTGAGGGGTAAGAACTACGAGGAGAGACTACGGGAATTAAATCACACGTCACTGGGAGACAGAAGAGTTAGAAGGGACGTGGTCACCACAAACAAGATTCTCAGAGGAATTGATAGGGTAGATAAAGACAGACTATTTACGACAAAGGGCACACGCACAAGGGGACACAGGTGGAAACTGAGTGCCCAAATGTGCCACAAAAACGTTAGAAATTTTTTTTCAGTGTCAGAGTGGTAGAGAAATGGAATGCATTAGGAAGTGATGTGGTGGAGGCTGACTCCATACACAGCTTCAAGTGTAGATATGTTAGAGCCCAGTAACCTCAGGAACCTGTACATTAGTTGATTGACAGTTGAAAGGCGGGACCCAAGAGTCAGATCTCTACCCCCGCAAGCACAATTTGGTAAGTACAATTAGGTATGTACACATTAGACAATTATATTTTGAATAAGAGAGTGAAAGTGTCAGACGGATTA